TTTCTAAGCTAATTTTCTCAATGATTATTAATCTAAAATTAACAATTTTTATTTTATATAATAGATATGCACTTTCTTTACAACATAAAAAAAATTTGGCTAAATCTAATTACTAGTAGCAAAGATAAGTCAAATAATCTACCATAATATGTCAAATTTTATTTATCATTGTATATCTCAATTATCTCGGCAACCAGTTATAGACTTGCTATTTTTTTTTTTTATTTTGTAGAGAAGGCATGGCGCTTTTAAATAAAAAAAAGTTCGCTCAATTTTAATTACTAGAAGCCGAGATAATCGAGGTAAAATTTCACTGTTGAATTTGCTACAATTTTCGTCGGCGATTGTCACGATTATCATGTGACACAATCGTTAAAGCATACTCGATTGTATTTCTTAACCTAATAGTCTTTTATTAAGCATCTTTTTTATTTTTTTTTCTTCGAATCCAGCTAGACTAAAGAAAAACAGACTCAGAATTCTCCTAGTTAATTTTAATATTGCATTATAGTGTTCTGATCTGGTTGAATTATAAACACCTGGGTGGTCATCTGTAGGTTAACCCACAGGTTATCTTGTTGGTAGAATTGCCAATTTAACTTGTTCATGGCTTTTTTATCTCAAATCACACCTACAAACAAATTAAGGCCGCAGACATTATAACTTACAAGAATAGAAGAGTCTTCTATTATTGTATGTAATAGTGCCTGCAGCCTTAGTTGATATATAGTAGAGTTTATATGTGGGTAAATATTTATAAGTTACAGGTTTATTTACTATTTATAATAAGTATTAAGCTAGCCAAGTTTATAATATTTACTATTTATATGTATGAATTTAATGCTTAAAATAAGATATTTAAGTTATGAGTTAGTTGAATGACCCATGATTGATTCACATAATTATAAGACCACAAAGCGAAACTATTTAGGGTGATAAATATTATTTATTATTATTTATTTTAATTTATATTATCTTTTTTTTTTTTTTTTTTTTTTATGTAATTAACTTTTTTAATTTAGGTTTTTATTAACCGTTACTTTATATATAACATATTGCACATGCCAATTTTTATACAGAACCGGTAAACTTAAAATTAATTATACTTACTAATTCAAATGTGTGAATACAATAAAAATTAATTAAACTATTTATAAACTTGAACAGGTTATTTTAACACTTAGCAAATATTTATTATACTAATTTAGCAAATGTTCTTTATATATACAATATTTATACTATATATATTCAAATAAGCTCTTAGCATAATTACCGCCCAAAATTAATAATGTGAATGACCACCATTATTATTATAGACTTCTTTGACACGGTCTACTTCACTTTCAACAAGATGTTTAAAATAATTTTGAGACAATGCTTCCCATTCTTCTTTAACCATTCTTTCAAGCTCATTAAGGTTTCCGGGTCTTGGACAACATTTTCGAAGCTTCTCTTCAATCTCAGACCAAAGGTTCTCAATAGGATTAAGGTCTGGGCTATATGGAGGCCATTTAAATGTTTTAATACGCTTATTAGCTAGATAGTTTTTAACAATATTGCCTCTATGAACTGAGACACCATTATGTTGAAATATCCCATTACCATTGGGATATTGGTCCTGAAGCTTTGGAATGGCATAACGAATAAACGTTCTACGATAGGATTCGCTTGTGACACTACCGTAAAGACGGATAAAAGGGCTGAGACCCCACCAAGAAAAACATCTCCACATCATAATCCCTTTAGATTTGATAGCTGGAACAAGACAATCATCATTAAATTCTTCACCTGGCCTCCTCCATACATGCTGATATGGATTATAATGGACTAAAGTAAAATACTTTTCATCTGACCAAAGAACATTCTTCCAGTCGGTAGTTGTCCAATTAAGATGCTTTTTTGTCTAATCTTAACGCTCTTTTTTAGTCTTATCACTAATAAAAGGCTTTCGCAAGCAACACGTGAGACCAGGTTAGCTTTGCAAAGAGTACGACAAATAGTTCTTTGAGAAATTATCTAAAACATATAAAATTTTAAAAAATAAAAAAATAAAAAATAAATAAATAAATAAAAATTTAAATTAAAAATTATTATTACTTTGCCTTCTTGCTGTTCCAATACAGCTTGAATTTGTCTTTTAGTTATACGGCGATTACTTAAAACAAGTTGTGATAGACGATCTTGTGCCGATTCGTCTAAGATTGGTAGTCTTCCTCGATGATTCGGTAATATTTGAGATGGGTTTTCAAGTCTGTTTAGTATATTTCCAACTGTCTTGGGATCACATCTGACAAGTTTGGCAATTTGCCTATACGACTTGCCTAATTTTCAAGCAGATATAATTTTTCCACATTTCCTTTTGGTGAGTGTCATGATTTAAAGCTATAAAAGTGCTTCAATGAAATATATTTATATTTGTCAAATTTCTAATTAATAATTATGATTAATTTATTTAGCTCAGTTAAAAAAAAAACTTACCAAATAATTACAGTATAAACACACAATAAGATTTGTAAATTATGCGTGCGGCATTAGAGTGTTCAAAAATACTAGTAAATCAAATATTAATTAGAGTCGCATATGATGAAAATCTGAATTTACTGCGGATAATATCAGCTTTTGGTATGCTTTTCTCTTGAGCTAGTATAATAATTAATGTCTAATTTTTTTAAAAAGATAGAGCAAATTGTATACTTTA